GGTGTAAGGAGGGTGGCAGGGGGTGAGGGGCGGTGCACAGCGACATCTGCAGAGAGATGGAGGAGGTGGAGGCCTGCTGGACTCTGTCACATGCCAGGCCCAGGGCGCCATTCAGGGTGAGGACAGAGCTGACTGTCTGCTAACTCCAGGGATGATACAGGATGTGTCGAAGGGGGGATGGACGGTGCTTGCACCCTCCCCCAATGCCTCTGCTTCGGTACTCTGTAAACCTCCAGTACTAATCCGTGACATAACCTTCCCCCGCTAGATTGAAAAAGGGAAGCGCAGGCCCAGAGCAGGGACCTCTCCAGCCAGTGTAAACACAGCGCTGCTCTCTCCCACCCCAAAGGTGCCCTTTTTCTCTGGGCCACGAGCACCCTCCACATGGGTTCTTGATCCCATTCCTGTCGTGCCCCCCCTGCACCTCTCCCTTCTTCTGAGGGAGCAGGGCCCATGTCCTGGGTAATGGGCTGATGCACACGAGAAAAACAGTCAGAGGAGCATACCTGAGGACACTTCAGGGGAGCTGCACACGACGGGCTGAGGTCTCCCAGGACCTTTCTGTGCAGCATTTTATATCACAGATCACTCTCAATTTTTTTAAAGCTTTCCTTCCCCACCTTCACGATCCCCTCCCCACCACCCCCGATTCCCTCCTCTCTGGCTGGCTGGTCCTTCTCACTCGTCCTCCCTGACTCCTCTCTCCCTGCCAAATGCGGGCGATCTTTGGGTATGATCTGTAGTACTCCCCTCTTCTCACTCATGGGCTTAATTGTCCAAATATGTATAAATCCTCAAACTATATTTTTATCCCAGAACTCTCTGCTGAGGTGCAACCACCTGCCCTAGGTAACTGCTCAGAACAGAACAACAGCTGGTCCTGAGCACAGTGGTGGGCGTGGTTCCCAGTGTACCTATGAGGTATATACAGTTATTACCCCCATTTTACAGATGAAGAAACTGAGGCATACACGCCCTGTGCCACAAGGCCAGCAAGAGGCAAAGCTGGGGTCCGAACCCAGGCAGTGGGCGTCAGAGTCTGTGAGCTGGACCACACACAGCCGCCTGCCTCTGAGCCACGGGAAGCACAGCATGTCCAGAGACACAGTCCTTGTCTTTGTCTCCAAAATCAGAGGCTGGGTTGGGGGAGATCTCGAGTGACAAGAAAACAAAGCAACCTGCCCATGTAGCACCTGACTAGATGTGGGGTCAGTCATGAGAAAATCCAGGCTACGTTTAAGCGAAGAGCAAGTTAGGAAGGGATGAGGGGAGGGGCAGGGAGGAGCAATCCTGCAACCGAGGGGACCTGGACCTAGCAATCACGGAAGGGGGAGGCAGCCCAGCCACAGGCCACAAAGCCGAGCGCAAAACCACGGCTTGGGGACGAAGAGAAACGCAATGGTGCTGAGGTGTGAGAGCTGGGCCAACCCGCTGACACTCTCTGATGAGACTTTGGGAAACAAAGTTTAAAAAGCAGAAAAGAGACTCAGCGTGTGGGAGATCTGGAAGTGCTGGTTGGGGGCGGGGCGAGGAGTGAGACCTGATGCAGCGGTTTCTGACGTCAGCATTCATGTTTCTCCCGTTTTGGTGATAATCACAATACAAAATTAAAATCTAATGAGCAGTAACTACCCCAGGCACTGTGGTAAAGGGTTGACAGGCACTGACTTATAAAATAAATGAATCTGCATTACAAACCTTGGCTATGCTATTAATTGCCTTATTTGGCAGATGAAGAAACTGATGGTATTAGTAGGTCCATTTTACATATGTGGAAACAGAGGCTGGGACACAATAAGTCTGTAGAGCAAAGCTGTGTAGCTAGGAGTGCCAGGACTCAAACCCAGGCCAGTAACTGCGTGTTTACATGTTTTATAGCCCCTGTAGATGGTCACTTCACACAGGGCAATGGCTTTGTCTCATTTGCCTTGGCAATCCCAGAACCTAGCACAGTGCCTGGCACACAACGCGAGCCCTTTAAACATTAGCTGGGACTTGCAGTCACTCCATGCAATCTGTGCTTGTTGAACGAATAAATGAATGATCGAATGTACAACTAATGGACAATTCTCTTGAATATTAGTGGGGATGGCTCCCATGGACGGGGGCTGGGTTCCAGGAGCTGGGGACTTTTGAAACTTTGTGGAACAACAAGGATATTTTACTTGGCAGTTCCTGTAACCACCATGGGAGTAAAGAGATGATCCACCCTGCTATAGTGTCAGCCTTTTTCATGCCTTCACGTTGAAAGGGCAGGCAAAGCTCATGATCACGCCAGTGTGCGTGTGGGGGCTGGGGCATTGATGATGAGCTGGTGGGAGGAAGGGCTCTGCTCAAGAGAAGATAAACAAAAACACCAGAGAGACACTCTGAAGAAAGCATGTTAGAGAAATAGATGGAGTAGGGGACCCAGAGAGAAAAACGGCAAAGCCCAGTAGGAAGGCATGCCGAGGGAAGCCTGGGGTTGGATGCTGATGCTCAGGCAGAGATCTGGGAGCAGCTGCCAGCTCGAAACCCCAAGAAAACAGAGTGGGTGTGGACCCCAGCACAGGGGCCATGGTGCTGTCTACAGGGGGGCAACCCCGCAGGAGCCTTGGCCTCTGGCCTGCTGAGCCTAAGAACTTCTGGATCCAGCTGACCACAGCTGGGGGGTAAGGGGTGGGAGGAAGGACAAGCACAGAGGAAGGGAGGCGGGTGAGCAAGTTCTAGCTCCGAGGAAGGAGTGCGTGGCGTCTAGTAAAGGAGGGCCAGGAGACAGCACATCTGGGGGACAGGCTCTTTGGGAAGGCAGAAACGCCGGAGCTTTGAAATGTGCACATGAGTTAGGGGAAGGAATCCCAGGGGCAAAACCCATTACAGAGAAAAACAGGGTGAAATAGAAGAAGGGGAAACAATGAAAATTGGAGAGTATGGAGTTTATAAGAAATTGATACGCGAGATTTGGTGGAAACTGTTGCTTTGGCTTTGGGAATAGGAGAACTGTAAATATGGATAATATGTAAATACCATTTCTAATTTAAAAAATCTGGAAGGCTCAAATGAGAGATAGTCTTTCTAAGGGCACTTTGACAAGTATGAAAGAAGATGTTTGTGGCCGAGAGGAGAGGACGTGGGATGTGGAGTCTGAAAACCAGGGTTCGAGTGCCAGCCCTGCCTTGTGGGGAGGACAAGTCACTGGTCCTCTCGTTTGCTTCTGCGTCCCCTGCCCGGAAAGCAGCAGTGACTTTTCTTTCCCATGATGACTCCAAGGGGCTGCCACAACAAAGTACCATAGACTGAGTGGCTTAAAATAGCAGATTTTCACCTTATGGTGCTGGAGGACAGAGGCCCAAAATCAAGGTGTTCTGTGGCTTGTGACAGCATCACTCCAAGCTCGGCCTCTGCCTCCATCCGGCCCTGTCCCCTGCCTGTGTGTCTTCTCCTCTCATGAGGGCACCAGTCATCCCATTTAGGGACCACACCACATCCAAGATGGTCTTATCTCGAGATCCTTAACTAACTACATCTGCAAAGACCCTATTTCCAAATAAGGTCACATTCCGAGGTCCCAGGTGGACTGAATTTTGGGAGGACACTACTCAACACATGACAGCCTCCAAACAGTAATGAAGCCAGAGCACTGAGTAGGTTTACAATATTTTCCACATGCTTCTTGTGTGCCCGCCACATACCTCTAATGGCTGCCGTCGCCCACAGGATGAAATCCAAGCCCCCAGGCTGGCACTGCAGGTCTGGCCACTTTGCACAGTCTCTGTGCCTGACTTTTTCTCACCCTCCCCATGTCTTCCATTCTATGACCTTAGTCAACTGATTCCTCCTTGGTCTTTGTGACCCAGCTGAAACTCCTTCAAGAACTTTCTGAAAGAACCCTAAGGTAACTTCTTCCTGCCCTAAACACCTTTGACAGGAATCATTTTTTCCTTTCACTTGGCAGTTCATCAGCTCTTCAGACCCTCTTAGATGAAGCCCTCATTTACCTCTTGTCATTTTATTTGACTTTTTTTGTGAATTGAAGCCTTTCTTCCTGCACCAGCTAAAGCCCTGAAGACTGGGGAAGTGTCTTTTTCTTCTTTGAAGCCCCAGAATCTAGTTCTGCCTGTGGTGCAATCCAGGTCCTCTGTAACGTCCTGAGTTATTACTTCCTACTGCGCCAGCTCTGCTCAGCCCCAAATTTCTTCTCTTTTACCTCATGCATGGCTGTCTTTCCTGGTTCCCACAGTCCAAAGAGAAGCCTTTCTCCTTTGAGCTTTTGGAGCCTCTAGCACATGCCCCCTTGATTTGGTGCATTGTGCACCATTTACTCGTCCATTCACAAAGATTCACAAAGCACGTACTCTGCCTGGTTTTGTGCTGGGCCCCAGGGGGTCCAGCTTGCAAGGCTGTCTCATTCTCCCTGTCTGAGGCCAAGGGAATTCTCTTATCCTCCTTCTTTTCTCACGGGGCCTGACACAGTTCTTCAAGTGTTGTACATGTTCAGTTGGAGGGTTCCACTCAAATGGCTTTAGCCAAATCTTAACGAACAGCCCAACAATACCCTCTGCACTTGCAGTGGGGGAGAATGCAGACAGCGGGGCATCTGCCTTCAGCATTTGCCACAATGGTGACTGTGCTGCCCCTCCCAGGGCCTCTGGACAACCCCACGGACCAGAAGGAAGCGGGAATGTGTTGTTCCAATGTGATTACAGACAGGGTTGTGAACTGGGGACAAATGGACAGTAGTAAGGACCCTTCCATGCAGCACATTATGCTGTACAGTGAGGCAGCCTCAGAAAGCAAAGTGCATCTCTCCCTGCGATTCTCCAATAAGGCCCACTGGTCATTCCCCCTGCTTAGACAGGGGCAGGATCTACAACATCCTCCCCTATGTCAAGGGGGACATGGGTGGGTGCATAACGAGCAGCTTTGGTTCCAGATGCTTCTCTGGCCTGAGTATCTGACATGCCCATGGACAAACTTCGGATGACTTAGGCAGGGTCTCATGGTGGAAGGGAGTCACTCACCGGCATTGTTTTGCTGCTTGGTGTTTTTGATGTAGGCAGAGAACTTGGAGAAGATGTCGATGCCTGCTGTGTTGGATTCGCGGTGTTTCGCAGCCAGTTTGGGGTACCTGGAGTGGAAGACACGGTGTTCTGTCAGTCAGTGAGACTTGGAGCTCCTTTAACGGGGAGCCTAGCTCCACCATGAAAAACACTCCCCTTTCTAGCTGGATCTACAAATCTTTTGGGTTCTTAACCCCCATCCTATAGGAAGAGTGGGCACTCTTGGCCCCAGTTCATCCAGAGAGGAAGCCAAAGGCCAGGCAGGTAAGAGCTGCCCAGAGCTACACAGTCTGTTGGACAATAAACCAGAACGCCATTCAGAGGCCCCAAATCTGCCCTCTTCACACCGACAATGGTGCACCAATGAAAAGGCGCTAATCAAAGTTCTGACTGAGCTTGCCTTTCTATGAGATAGGGTCCGTGACACTTCCCCTACCCACGTTAAAATAACTATCCACTGCCAGGCCTGCGATTTTCATCACAGCTGCACAGAGCTAATTCTGGGAGCAAGAACGTGCTGGGCACCTTAGCACTGAGGCCTCTAAACTCGTGGTCTCCCACCCCTGGTCCGTGGACTGGAAGTGGTTGGTGGCCTGTTAGGGACTGGGCCACAGAGCTCGGCAGCCCCTGTCCCCTACCCCCTGCCCCAGTCCATGGAAAAATCGTCTTCCATGAAACCGGTCCCTGGTGCCAAAAAGGTTGGGGACGGCTGCTCTAAACCACTTCTCCAAAGGAAGAATACCCAGGGTCCACTGCTGAAATGTCCTCCACACGCTTATTATTTGCGCACAGTAATAAGATGCAGAAACTACCAGGCTCCATTAGAGGACATGTGTTTTTGATTGTTTTATTTTATTTTATCTGGAGATAGATTTGCAATGATCCAGCCCCTCTCTCTCTTGCAGAGCCTTTCATTTTGAAGCCAGAGGAATACGAGAGGCAGGCTTGAGACAGAAAGAGGTAAACTTGCTTGCGTAGGAATCCATGGCTTGGACCCACTGGCACCACCAAAATGAGCAATTCTAGTTTAAAAAAAATATCATTTCCCAAACATTTTATGGCCAGACAGGGGTGGGAGGAGATGGGAGACGGTGGCCTGGTTATCATTATTACTAATTAATGTGCACCTTGTGGTCCCTGGGTGAGCAGTGTTTGACTGTGGGCTGTTGGGTTGCTTAATGTTCAAAAAGCAAAATACTTTTGTCGATTTGTTTTAACGTTTTAAATAATTTGAACCAAACAAGCCTTTAAAAATTATTTGTTGTTCCTTTATTTCTTTGCTCCTCAACTGGCCCATTAGCTAGGACTGTCCCTCTTGGGGCCATGTTAGATGGATGTTTAATTTCAGAGACACTGCTGCTGGAAGAGTCTAGCTCTCTGCCAAGAGGCAGATAAGGCAGGCATTATTGTCCTCGTTTTACTGGGAAGGCAATTGGAGACCTGAGAAGTTAAATGGCTGTTTAAGGGCCATGGCTAATAAATAGTGGAGGGATGAGAACCTGGTTTCTGGCCCTGGAGCAGCGTGGTCACACTGCTTTTCTAATAGCAGTAAAAGCTAACCTGCACTGAGAGCTACTATGTGCACCTGTATTCACCATTCGCTCCTCACAACAATTCTACTGGCAATGTTATGAGCCTCATTTCCCACAGGAGGCAACTGAGACAGAGAGAAGGTGAGAAATTTGCCTGAGGTCAGGTGGCTGGGGGGCAGAGCCAGGATTCCCACCCAGGCAGTTTCAGTTTGGAAGCCCAGCTCTTAAGTTCCATGTTCTGTGGCTTCTCAGACTTTGCCGTTTCTCTCAAAGCCCTAGAGCTCTCAAGGCGGAGCAGAGCACCGTGCACCAGCTGTCTCCCTCCACCAGGAGGGGGCGCTCTGCACAGATTCTGCACACACACGTCTTCCGGGTATACCGGCAATTACCAGATCCACCCGCTGTGACTGCAGGCACAAACCAAGGTTTCCTGCAAGATGCTAAGTAATCTGCCAAGACGTGGAATTTAGTGTCATCTTTCCCTATTTTGGCCTTCTCACATAGAATCTAGCATGCTGTTAGAACTGATAGACTTAAATTATTAATAAAGACCAAGCGCTCTTTGTTTCTCCTTGATAATGTCAACACAAAAGGGCCTAGAAAATGCATTTTAGTGGACAATTTGTTTAGGTTTGCTGGTTTTTCTTTTTCCTGTCATCATTTGATCAAACTTTCAGTAAGCTGATTATTTCTTCACAATCAGGGTGGGCCAACAGGGACGTGCGGAGGTTGCAGTGAGATATGATGATGCCACTGTACTCTGCCCGGGGCGACAGAGTGAGACTCTGTCTCAGGAAAAAAAAAATGATGATGACAAAGGACCATGTATCAGGGGACCATGACATTGTCATCCTATTTCCTAAGCACTATCACTCATGGAGACCTTACTATATAGCGTAATGTTCCAATTGAAATTTGTTCTTGTGGGAAGTGTATCTCCAAGACGGTTATTTTTGTTTGTTTCTTTTGAGACAGAGTCTTGCTCTGTTGCCCGGGCTAGAGTGCCGTGGTGTCGGCCTAGCTCACAGCAACCTCAAACTCCTAGGCTCAAGCGATCCTCCTGCTTCAGCCTCTCAAGTAGCTGGAAATACAGGGTCGTGCCACCATGCCTGACTCATTTTTTCTATTTTTAGTAGAGACGAAGTCTTGCTCTTGCTCAGGCTGGTTTCAAACTCCTGACCTCAAGAGATCCTCCCGCCTCAGCCTCCCAGAGGGCTAGGATTATAGGATTACAGGCGTGAGCCACCAGGCCTGGCTTCTCCAAGATGTTAATCTCACAAATTTCAAACTAGACTTGAGGAGGCTGCTGTACAGGATGCTAAGTGCATTCATTTTACCTGCATATTTACACCATATTTTAAATATGCAAATAAGTGGGCTACAAAATACATTCTGTTTCTCTAAAAGCAAACAGCGTTTCATTCATAGAAACATCTTTGAAATAACATTGTCATGTGGTCTGATGACAATCAAAGAGGTGATAAATTTTGCTAACTCAGCAAACTATGGCCTATGACCCCTGTTCATATATGGCCCTCAAGCTAACAATGGTTTTTTACATTTAAAATGGTTGAAAAATAAATCAAAAGAATACTATTTTGTGATGTGTGAAGATAATATGAAATTCGAATTTCAATGTTCATAAATAGAGTTTTGTTGGAACACAGCCACACCTATTTGTTTACATATTGGCTACAGCTGCTTTCACCGTACAACAGCACAGTTGCGACAGACCACATACGGCCCACAAAGCCAAAAATATTTACTCTCTGGCCCTTTACAGATAAAGTTTGCTGATCCCTCATCTAACCCATGAAAATTTCTCTCTATCCTGTTTTTAAGATATCTTATTTCAAATGTATTCATCTTAGACCTGCACTTAAGCTTCAAGCTGGGAGGTAAAACAATTGGCTTCTCACCAAAAAAGAAAAAAATAATAATAAATTTTTTTTTGTATATAGAGATAGTAGTGAAGAAAAAAAATATTGCAGATGGTAAGTGCTCTGACTGGTTTAGAGTCTCGGTTGACTTCCCACTGACTGACCACGGGCCACCAGGCCACCGAACAAAAGGACCCCAAGCAATCAAGCCAACACACACTAAGCACCCATCAAGGACCGCTGAGGAGTGACCGCTGCTGATTCTGGGAGTTTCTCCTGGCAGCTGGAGTGCTGACCTTCCTTTTTCCAAGAAGCTGAAAAGTGGAAAGACTTCTTCTCCCTCCCTTCTCCTTTGTCTCTGCTTCCTCACTTCACTAAACCCTCCCTGGAGAAGGACATTAATGTTTCTGACTTTTCTCATCCTTGACTTTGTGCTTGTTTGTCTTATCTCTGCTATTTAAGCAAAAGATCCTTGGAGGTGGAAGAGGTCTGACTTATTCATTAAAAGGCATCCTTTAGGATCTGTGGTTTTAAGATATAAGGTCACCAACTGTCCTTACGGTGACACCTGGGAGACAGCCACAAAACGGGTGCTGACCTCTCTCTTTCTGTTACAACTCTGAGCTGCCTTTTAGTGAGCTTTTATTTTATGTCAAGCACTAGGCTCAGTAGTGTCTCTTCTACAATAGCCCCATACGATCAACAGTATGGTCCCTGTTTCACAGATGTGAGAATTGACAGAGAGATTTTCAGTAATTTGCCTACAGCAGAGACTACTTGTTCTCCCCAGACAGCCATATAGGGCTTTCATTTCCCAGCTTCTCTCTCATTGGGTTTGGGGTCATGTGACTGGATTCTGGCCAATGGAAGAGAGGTGAAGTCACATAACCACTCACAGCCCTGCCCTGGGACACACTTTGCATGCTCCTTTTCTCTCTCTTCCCCTGTAGAAGGAGACTCGGAGGCCGTGTATTCCAAAAACCACAAGATAGAGGAAGGCCACACTCGCCACTCAGACTTTGCTTGAGTGGGAAATAAATGCATATTCCGTTCAGCCCCTGTGATTTTATGGCTGGTTTGATCCCGCAGCAGAGCACCACTCCATGTGGTGCAGACTCTGACTCCAAAGCTCATACCCTCAGCTGCCATGCCATCCTGAGAGGGGTCCGGAGGTCCAGAGGTCCGGGCTGTTTCTCCTCCTCCCAGAGGGTTACAAAAGCATTCTTGTTTTCGACTATTACAAAATATCTCTATACATTTTTTTAAAAAATGAATTCGAAGCATCTACCAATTGGGTCAGTGTCCTGAACTCTGTTGATAGTTAAATCATTCTTGCTAGTTGACTGACTGGACAACATACCATGTAACTGGACCACATCAGTTTACCCTCCTGAATTTTTATCACAGCATGTATACACTAAGACTATTTGAAATAACGACCAGATCTGGGAGAGTACTTTGAGAAACTCATGGGATCATAGAACTTGCACTGAAAGGCATCTTGGAGCCTATGTAGTTTCACCTCCTTGTTTTAGAGATGAGAAAACTGGAGTGTCTGAGAGGAAGGGAGGCCTGCCCAAGGCCACACAACAGACACTGGTAGAGGTGGCCAGCGGTGGGGCTCCCGATTCTCAGTTTTGAATCCCAGAAACTCTGGCCATTCCACGAGGATGAAAGGCAAGGGCCAGTAAGTCTCAGCAGTAATCCCAGCACTAATCCCACACTTCCTTGTTGAGCGTTAACTGGGTCGGTCTAAGGAAAGGGATGGATGTTAGTCTCATTTGGAAACAACTTGAGACTTCCTGGATTCCTCATTTTGACACCGAACGCTTCGTGGGATAAAATTTAATTTTTAAAAAAAATTGTTGGAAGGTTCGTATGTGGTTTTCTCCTTTAAAAAAATAAAGCTAAGGGGAAAAAAGGCTCCCACAATGTCTTGGCCCTCTGGCAGCTTTTACAAATAGTGGTGTGATGAGAAACACATGGTAGACAAGCGCTGGGGGAGCAGTCGTGGGGATTTGGACGCCCCCTTAGAGAAACGGAAGGCCAGGCTGCCTGCTCCGGAGGCCTCCGAACACAGGCCACTCCGCCCCACAGCCGAGTCCCCGGGGAAGCCAGCCGAGGCTGGTGGCTTGTTGTGGGCTGACCAGCAGGTCTCTCTACGTGGGCCTGAGGCACTGGCTTGATAACATTTACTGGGAGGTAATTGTGACACCTTCCCCAGTCCGATGGGTACAAAGGCATCTACAGGACACTTCTGTGGGGCTCCAGAATGGTCAATGGTCTCACCACTAGGGCCCCCACCTTGGCTGCCTTCTGGAGATGTACACTTTTACAGTTTGGGGTTCTGCTACCTGGGAGTGCTGCATTGTCAGGTTACTAACACGGCAGGAATGCACTCGGTAAAACCTCCTACACAGGATCCAAGAGCTGGACCAGAGGGAGCAGTGCTCAGAACAGGGAACGTGGGTGGAGAGGGAAGAGAGGAGGGCGTGTCTGCATCCAGCACTGCCCACCCTAGTTGGATCATGGAGACTCTTCCGCATCTGATGGAATGGCAATGAAACCTGATGATGACTGCCTCTGGAAGAATGTGCAAGGACACACAGGACATACAATCCCAGGGTCTCTGGGCCCCCTTTGTCCCATTGTGGATGCAGATTGGGGATCCCTGTGTTCGAGAAACAGCCCAGGAAAAGCATAACCAGACTGGGGATGGGGAGCTGGGGGGAGCCTGGCTAAAGTAGGGAATCAGAGAGCAAGAAGGGCCTGGGGTCATCCTCTCACAGAGGAGGAACTGAGGCAGAGCACATCCCCGGCGGAGCCAGGAGTGCATGCCCACCCCCCACCCCTCCATCCACCTGCCTGGAATAAGCCCCAGTGGGGCACTCTGCTCCTCATGCGTCAACTTTCCATTCCCTGAGGATCCGGACAGGAGCCCTCACTTCCGAGCGCGAGACTTACTTCTAAAAGGGAAGATGGTAACTTCGCCACAGACTTTCCTCTCCGGGTCTCCCGGGCAAAGTCTAAACTCTATTTAGTTATTGGAAACAGCATTTATTATTTTTTTTCACGTGGGATTTCAAACCAGCAATGAGGTGGAGTCCCAGGGGAGGGAGATGGCGTGTGGCCCCCTCGGGGCATGTCCAGCAAAGCGGCTGGCAGGTGTCCTGTTCAGAGATGCGTGTGGCTTCTGCCTGTGGCTGAGCTGGGAGTCACATGGGGGCTGCCCCATTGGTTTAATTAATTCACTTGTTTAGAGTCAGCACTCAGCTTCTTCCAATGGGCTTGAGGTGGCTCTCCACTCTCAGTACGAAAATCAACCGTCCTCGTTTGGATGACAAAGGAAGAAGATATGATTGTTTAAGGCTTAATCAGAACATAACCGGTAGTTTTAATTTTTTAACAGTAATTCACTAGATGTGCGACCTTGGACAAGTGACTTAATCTCTCCAAGGCCAACTGTAAAATGGAGATAATGACAGCACCTACCTCCTAGGGCTGTTACAGGGACGAAATGAGTCATGTTGGGTAAGTGCTGTTAGCAGAGCCTGACACAAAGTGAGAGTGATAAAAATGTAGATGGATAAATAACACTTTAAAATAAATGCAAGATGGCAGGGTTTAGTAGTTAAATCCCACTTATTTTACAGGCTAAGTATGTCCCGAATCCTGCCCACTCCTCTCCCCCCATTGTACTGTCACTGCCTTGGCTCAGCCTGTCCTTTTGTCCTGCTGGGCTGTAACCTCCACTCCCAGCTGTACCGTCCTCTCACTACTCATCTCACCCAACCCTCAACATAAGTCTTAAAACTGACTTTCCAGCCCCTTCGTGTAAAACCTGTCAGTGGTTACCCGATGCGCCCCCCTACAGGATGATACCATACAGGATAAAGTCCATGCCTTACTCTTTGTGTAATATTATTTTCCTAGTTTTTTAAAAACTGTGATTGTTTTCATTCCGGATTATGACACTCTCTGATGAACAAGCTAGCCTCTGGGGAACTTCCGAACCTGTCCCTCTTCTCTTCCCTCCTCTTTTCCATCAGTAGCAGCTTATTACCCAACACACAGCCCCCTGGCCTGCCCCCTCCCTGGACCCATTTTCAGAGGAGGAGGTGAGTTTTTTCCTCTGTGTGACTGTGGGGTCAGAACAGATTTGGTCAAGTTTATGACTCTTGGTGTTGTTTAAGTCACTGGGTTACCCTTTCCTGGCTTATTTTCCTTTCATGGGCCTTTCAGCTCTCCTGAAATGAGGGAGCCCTTGCTCTCACTTGGAGGTCGTCCAGGCAGAGTGACCTGGGCAGAGGGGGACAAACTGGGGTGGGACCTTCCCAGGGCTCCTAAAATTGCTCTGTGTGGGAGGAGCGACTGGCTCTACTTCATAGGCCATACCCACTCTCCGCGGATTTCGTGGAGTCATTTTGAGCCTGGCATCCTTTGGGGGTCCTACACTGTCTCTTGGATGAGAAGCCCTGTGCTCTGGACTGATGAGGCTCCCTTGGAAACGTGCCTTCTCAAAATTAGCTCTGTGCTTTTATAGTTCCAGCACGGACCCTTCCTTACTTTTCAGGTGTCAAGGTCTCCTCCAGGAACTCCTCGATCTTATTGACGTCTGTCTTCACGTCCCCATTGAAGGTCAGGAAGGGCGGATGCGTGCCAGGGGCCAGGTTGTGCAGGTCGGCTGGCTTTCTGTGGGGAGAGCAAGACTCAGGTGTTGGCTTACACCAGGGCGCTTCCTGTTCTGGGAAAGCTAAGATTGATTATAAAGTAGATGCCCTGTGCTATCCAACGTGCCCATCAGCAAAGACAGATTTATGGTGAGGGGCGTAGAGCAGAGGAGCTTGGAGAGAGTTCTGAAAGAATGTAGTGTGGCACAGGGAAGGTGTCCGGTGGTGTCAGCGAGAGAGGAACAAGTCAAGATGGAGTTGAGTACTATTGAAAAAGTGGGAAGAATCCAGGTGACTACTTCAGTGGCTCTAAGATTTAACTACCCAGGTAGAAGTTGGGCTGTGCTTTGAAAATTTCCTTGACTAATCCACCTAACAAAAATATACTCTACATAATTCCAAATTTTAAAAATTAATGAATTAGATCATATTTTTAGCCTAAAAGATATCTTTAAGTACACACAGAAATAATAACAATGGGAGTTTGGGCCATTTGTTCAAGTTAGAGTACCCCTATTCTGTATAACTTAAATTTTAATATCTAATAACTAATGTGCAGCATTGGTCAGTGTTTGTCAGACTCAACCAAACACTTTTTTGATCTATAAACAGCCCCTGATACAGCCTTCAGAAATCCATGAAAATAAGCAAATTATTAGCTTGAAAACAAAACTATTAAATGAAAACAATATTTTCAAAAGTCTTTTTACTGCTGTTTCTAGCATGACCCACTACGGGTCCTTGTGAAAACTCTTGGATTTATGTCTGACAGACCCAAGTTCAATGTTATTGCTCAACAAATACCAGACAGGCTATTATCAAGGATTCTGCAACAAGAACCGACCATTGCTGGATAGGAATGTATCTGAGAAAAAGCCTTACAATTCAACATCCACGAGGAAAGGACCTAGAACTGTACCTGGCATATAGGAGGCCCTCAGTAGATATATATTTTTAATGATTGCATGAATAAAATATACACTTTTAATTTAAAAAATGAGTGATTTTAGCTGCAAAGTTAGTAATCAAAAGTTGGTGAGTTGGTAAAAACTTCAATCCAATTACAAAAGCTTTGAGCTTCCCACTGAACATGGGGAGAACCAGCAGGCAACTGCACTGCTAGAGTGTTGGTGCTCCTCTGGGGTCTACCTTCTACAGTATTTTTACTTTGTGACTTAATTCAAACACACACTATTATTCTCAAAGTGTGACTATTATGGTTCCCGTTTTACTAGAAAGAAGTTATTTTTCTTGAAATATTTTAAAATCCTGTTCAATATACATAAATTGAAAATCTCCTGGGAGTCAGAAATTGTACATATGTTTTAAAACTATGAGGTTACTTAAGTGTTATTATAAACAATCTATTTTTCTAAGTAAACATATCTTCTATTTTCTAATGGGACTCAAATATAGCACTTGCTTTATGAACGTTATTTCTTTCCATAGCAAGCTTTGCTGGACCAATAGGATCTTTGATGTAAAGCACATGTATAATAGATAGAAATTTCAGTCCCTTAAAAGACAGAAGTCCTCTTGGTGTGCCTGTCGGATTCTGGGTCAGACACTTAAAGAAATCTTAGATAACCAAAGCAATAGTGCATTTTTTCCCCCTTGGAAAGAGGAGATCCAAAAGTCTTAATTATCCAGAAAGGAAGACCTAGATCATGGGGAAGGGGCTGAAATCCTGGAACCAGTCTGATTGAATGAATGAACAATTAATTAGTTGACCGATGAATTGCAGCTTCTGTATTTGGCCCACAGGAATGCTGAGTGGTGTTCCTGGTGTGCACTGGGGAGTATCCTGACCACCTGGGGGAAGGGACTTCCTGCAAGTGCAGCAGGAAGGAAAGCGACTTGTGTTTGACACGGGCCCTGTTAATGCCCAAGGATGTGCTTCGGTGACTCTGCCACCTGGTCAGAATGCAAAAGCAAAAATGGAGCAAAGGGAGGGAGAAGGCTTGGCAGATCGGGGAAAGCGGGGAGGGAGAGGGTTGCACTAGAAAAGAGTGAGGGAGAGGAGGAATGATGATGGAGACTGCCAGAGGCAGGGCTGGAGCATCAGATTCACCCCAAATGCTCTCTCCGAGAATGCGGCATTTCTTGTGGGAGTCGGGAGTGGAAAACATTAGATGGAAGAACTGTAAAAAAGTAAACAAACGGGGGTAGAGGAGTCTGTAATGAAACAGATTCCTGGCGCAATCAGTTTGGGAGGGGAAGAGAAGAATTTCAATTACTGCGCTACTCCCATGTCGTGCGCCAAACACACACTCGCCAGCTGCATTCTGTGGCACTTGGAACTCAGACCGTTGAGACGGAAAGAATTTTTAAAATCTAATTTACTCAGTCCCTTTGTTTACTTTGTGTGTGTCCCTCATTTTAGACAATGAAAGGACATTCCTTACTTGTTCCCCCGGTTTCTAGAGCTGACACAAGGCAGGGATGCTGCGTTCACAGCTGGAAGGAGAAATCTATACTGATTTCACTGTTCTGCAGTTACCTCTCTGTGGCTTAAAGATACAGAAATGTGTTGTCATGGAGGTGGTGGTGGGTTTTTCCTGGGACTCTAAAGAACTGTGGCCACCGGAATCTGACACTTCTGGGAAGTTCTGCCTACGGCTTCGGAAGCTTAGCTGGACACTGCCAGTTGCAGCTCTTGCTCCTTGTTAACCCACGTTCAGGGCTTGCAGTTGGAACTACATCATTAGCATTGGATTACATATCGCCAGGTCTAGTTGACAAATTATTTGATGTGTATCAGTCTTCTTTTTCTGACTAGATTGCCACCTCCAGGAAGAAGAGGACCACGCTATGAGTAGCAGAGGAGTATGGAGTCCTTACTATGAAGTACAACATTGAACGCAAATGCTTTCCATGGCCTGCCTCGCTGAGCCCTCACGATAATCCTATTGATGAGAAGGCACTATCTCCATTGCCCAGATGAGGAAATTGAGGCTCTGCAAAGTTCAAGATCACTCAGTCAACAAATGTTGGTGCCTGGGTAAGAAATCAGTTTTCTATTTTTTTTTTTTTTTTGAGACAGAGTCTCGCTTTGTTGCCCAGGCTAGAGTGAGTGCCGTGGTGTCATCCTCGCTCACAGCAACCTCAAACTCCTGGGCTCAAGCAATTCTTCTGCCTCAGTCTC